AGCTTCCCCTGTTACCTAATCTGAGTTTTGCGGATGCAAAGCAATTCCGACGTTCTCGAAGACGGAGTCGGAGATACGGTCGATGTGTCCAAAGCTTGCCTGTACTACATTGAAAAGGGTAGACCCGTCAAACGTGGGTTAGCCTTTATCTTATTCCAGTTCCACTCTTTACGGTCCCTCAAAATAATTTCTTTAAATGAAGGTTTGTATAATTTTTATCGTTTAACTTAAGATTTTGTATAATTTTTATTATTTAATTTTTTTATATTTTTTTAATCTCTTAATTATAAAATATTTTTTTAATCATTTCATTAATTAATCGATTAAGTTAATTTAAATCTGTATATTTTTAGTTCCTCAATTTAAAATTGAAAAATAAAAAATGTGTATATATTAAAAGTTAACGAATTAAAAATATTTATATTCATATAAATTTAACCGATTAATTAATATAAAATAAAAAAATACATTTTTCATAATGCAAAAAAAAGTTGAGTAAAAATTGTGTAAAACCTTAATGTTAAGGGATCAAAATTAACATTTAACCTTAATCCTTTTAGGTTTTTTTTTTTTTTTTTTGAGGTATAAGGGCTTAAAGCCCCAAAATATAACTTCGAGGCCTTAAAAAAAAAAAAGAAAAAAGAAAAAAAGAAAAAAAGAAAAAAAGAAAAAAAAAAGAAGGGGTTAACCCCTGTGGGGGTAGGAAGTGCCTCCCATCACTCCGAAGATTTATTATGAAGGTGGAATTTACCCGTTGTTATCAGCAAGGAATAGGTCCCACGGGGCTTCCATCTCTACAAATTTATGTATTTCACGAGAAGCTAAGATCTTGTTGGTCTTGCAAAATTTCACAAGAAAAAAACACCCTCTCATCCCCCACATACTAGGTTGAATATTCCACTCCGTCCCACTCTCATGACGACAATCCCTACAACCCCACAAAAATTGGAAGAAATTGTCACCCTAATTATTTATAGACTAATCAAAACAACTAATTAATTAAACCCAATATACCCTATAAATAGTTTAGACTACAATTAGTTTATCATATATTTCAATTGTACCAATTCAAGTATAATGTTTTTCATACAATATTTTATACAATTTAATGTATTATTAAATAAGTTAATATAAACAATTTTATGTGTCATTAAGCTTACAATTGATAAATTGTTTGAGCTTACAACAAGCTACAAGCAGATGCAGATAAAATTGTTTGAGCTTGTACAGTTGAGATGATTTTAATAGATTAAGAATATAGGAGAAATAGATGCAATTTTAACCTCCCACCATGTATATAAAAACAGTCATCTGCTCCTATCAAGTTATGTTGTACAAAATATCATAAGAAAAAAGTTTCCTATAAGTCATTTTCTTAAATATTTTTTTAAGGATTTATCTAAGAATTTATTTTTTAATTAATATTTTTAAAAACTAATTATTTGATTGAAAGTTTTAATAATATAAATTATACATGTAAAATTTTAAATTATTCTAATAAACTTAATCACTTTGTTAATTACACAAACTTTAATATCATTAAATATATGTTAATAAATAGAGTTTTCTTGATTAAAAGATTATAAATATTAAATAAATATAAAAATTGATATATATAATTTATATGAATTAATTTTTGATTTAATAATTAGTTTATAAAAATATTAATTAAAAATTAAATTTTTACGAGTCTTCAAAAAAAAATTTTGAGAAGACAATCTGCATGCTCTAAACTCATATTATAAAAAAGATTATATTGAATACTTTTTATGCCTAATATCATTAAAAAAATAAAATTTCCAAAGTGTATATTTTTTGTATTTATGAATATCTTATGTTAGAGTCATGTTTTTTGGCCAAAGTATATTAAAGTAATTAGTAAAAATGATTTCTTCTTAAAAATTATTAAAAAGAAATTACGGCTCTTTTTGAGCACTATATTTTTTCTTGAACGAAACTGAAAATTTTTGGGCACCATATAGGGTAATAGTTATACCCACTATTAAATTTGTTAAGTCACTAAAATTATTAAAATTTTATTTTAATTTAATT